CGANTTGCCTCCCCCTCCCCCCCCTTCCTCTCCCCCTTCCTCTCCCCCTTCCTCTCCCCCTCCCTACCCCCTGGGGCTCGAAGCCCCCAAAACGGTTCGTTCCTGGCCGGTTGGCTACCTGCCGCCCAAAGGGCGGATCCGCCTTTCTTTCTTGTGGAAGGGTCGCCGTTCGCGCCTGTCCGGCTGGTTGCGCCCGGCCGTCGTCGGGGCTTTTTTTTCCCCCCCTCTGCAAATAAAATAAATGGATCGCTAAGGGCTACTCAGTCTCTTTTTCAGTATCAAGGGGTATCAGAGGGGGTGCGAGCTCGTGACTGCGGGCCGGTCGGGTCGACGATAGACGATTGCGAAAGCCGAGAGCAAAGAGGGGGGACGCTTCTCTCAATTTTCCTCACACTACCTACCTACCACTACTCCTGCCTATAGGCATACGGGGAAACCCGTGGCATACCAGAGCCGTGTTTTTACGGCCCCTCGAGCCTGCAGGATACCGGCCAGGGGACGGCCGGTAGCACCAGGGATAAAGCGGACCAATCCCCCGTGCCTCCCCTCAGGCCCCTCCCCTACGAACATAGCAGACTCTGCTTGATGCTGATCGGGGGATCCAGTGGTCTATCTCTTGGGTAGCGGGTGCCAAGTAAGCCCAGGAAGGTACATGAGGCCAATGGGGATTGAACCCATGACCTTCATCGACAGTACTCATCTACAGCATATGCATGGCATGTTATGCTCAAATGTGGGGGTGCATTCACAACTGTTACTTCCATCTATGGTGGCTACCCCGGCTTCACTCCCCAACTTCCTCCACGATGACACTAAACAAAAACACGCCTAAATTGACAACTGCACGATCTCAAGAACATACTATGCACAAAAACAGAACATAACAGACAATTATGCAGCCACGTAATCTTCATTAATGGGGTCACCCATCAAGTGACACGGACCTGCACCAATGCAGCCGAATGCCGGTCACGGAATCGGGAAGAAAATGGCATTTGAATCGAACCAGCTATGCGAGAGGACCCTTATTGCATGGGGGGGGGAAGAGGGGGGGCAGAGCCCCCCGTCCCCCACACTTGAACACGACTTAGCAATGTCACACAGCTGAACACTGTAACCGAGCACAAAACGCGACCATGCTTAGCATAGCCTCCCTCCTATTGCATGGGGGGGGAGGGGGTGTGGGGGAGGGGGGGCGGGCTCGTCAGACATGAACTTCGAGCGCCAGGTATACTCAGGCAAGACGCTCTTCTACAAATCCTGTAGCCATAGGTGAACCCATTCCTGCCGCCCCCCAAGTTATATTGCTCGTTTTATATGTGCTTTCTGCAGTTTCGACTTGGAGGTTCTAGCCTATTATCGATAGATGGGAGGCCAAAGCGACCACGTGGCGGGTTTGTTTTCTTTTTGCTGGCACCGCCTGCCTTTGTGGTCCAGTAGCACCCAACCTCCACGGGCCTCCGAAGAATGCTGTATAGGTTACTTTTACAACTTAGCCTCCCAGCCTGGAAAGAAAAAGGGTCAACCACTTCAGCCCGCCAATGTTGCGCAATTGCTCCCGCGTCCACAACATCTGCCCCCACGCCCCAGGCTGCGCCACCACGCAGGGCGTGGTCTAACAGTCATTTTAGTACTGTATTGCCCATTGTTTTTGTTTTCTCTTTTTTTTCGCTTTTTCTTTTTTTTAATAAAATAATTTCTTGTTTTTTGTTCTTTTTCGTGTTTTAATAATAATTTCTTGGGCCGATCATTTTGCACTTACACGAGCTTTTGTTATTCCGAGGCTGGGTCCACAGACTTGAGGCCAGCCTTCCGTTTGCACTGTCGAGGGCAGACCAGTGAAAGGATTTCGCGATGTACCAGAGTCCCAGGTCCCAGGTCCCAGTCCCAGGTCCCTGTCCTGAGTCCCAGGTCCCAGTCCCAGGTCCCTGTCCTGAGTCCCAGGTCCCAGTCCCAGGTCCCAGTCCCAGGTCCCAGTCCCAGGTCCCAGTCCCAGGTCCCTGTCCTGAGTCCCAGGTCCCAGTACCGAGTCCCAGGTCCCAGTACTGAGTCCCAGGTCCTAGTCCCGAGTGCCAGGTCCCAGTCTTGAGTCTCGGGTCCTTGACCCAAATCCCATTTCGTGTTCTATTAGTGGTTCCAGCCAGTTGTACAATGTGCACGAATACTCCAGAAGAGTAGTTTTGGTTTGTACTAGGCGAACTAGTTAAGTAGATCGTGGCCGGAAGTCCCTACTAGATAACAGTTATGGGTTAAAGAGTCTGTCTTTAGGAGGCACCACGACTTCAGCCAGGATCACCACAGCTGTCAGTTGATTCACTCAAACAGCCGACCCAAGAAAGTCCGTGACCTTCCAGAAGCAGGGAACAAAGGCAAGACGGCCGACCCATAACCAACAGACGATGTCTCGAAGGCGGATCAGCAAATATAAAAGCTCAGCAGCACCAGTCAACGGGGTCCACTATTCATGTGCAGATTGAGGAAGCTCTGCGGGTTTTGCTTGTGCAACAGTGCGACCTGGATGGGAGGGGCGCTAGCGGAGGAGCAAGTGCCCAGCGAGGAAGGAGATGTCTGGTTACCACAGCTACCGTCTTCCCCCGAACACAACGCACCCTTATTTTGGCTGTATCTGGCCGGAAATACCTTGTATACATTCATTTTAAGGGTGCGTTATGTTCGGGGGAAGACGGTAGGGAGGAGGATGAAGACGACCATAGCCGCAGAGGTTCGAAGGATCCATGAGGGAGAGGGAGACCATGAGCGTGACACGGAGGTTGAGCGATACAAGACATGAGAGAGCAAGGGAGAGACACACACACGAGGGAGAGGGAGAGCAGTTACATACTAATTCGTACTTGGTTGATGTGCGGCACCTACAAGACATGAGAGAGCAAGGGAGAGACACACACGAGGGAGAGGGAGAGAAGTTACATACCAGATTCGTACTTGGTTGGTGTGCGGCAGGTGCCGCTGGAGGATACAAACAATTTCTTTGTATCATGCAATAAGTCGGTGTGGAGTTCACTGAGCGACTTTGGTTTCCATCTCTCGGTGTCCAGTGTGACTTCTCACATGATGTTGTACCGCGCGTGATGTGTGATTGCATGCTGATTGGGAGTCGAATTATTGCACCAGCAACCTTCCATACGGCTAAAAGGAAAAGGGGGTACCAGCCTGGAAGGCTGCTGTCCTACCTGCCTCCTGAGGTTGCATGCATATGGTCATGCGGATGACCAGGTTCGTGATACGGTACGTCAGTGCAGTAGGCCGCATTCTAGTGTGGAACAGCTCAACTGGGCTCCAAACAGGTGTGTCAGGGTATATCCGAAATTTCAATTCACGCTTCTTGTGGGCGATGAAAGTAGAGGTTGCCCTCCACATCCTTTTTTGAGGGCCACAATGCAAATTATGCGATTTGCCAATTTTGAAAAAAATAAAATAAAAAAAATTCCGAATTTGAAGCTGGGGAGGATGGACTATGTGTCTCACATACATGGACTGCGCACATCGCACTTGTCCCTTTTTTTTTTTCCCTCCTTTTTTCTTTTCTTTTTTTTTCCGTGTCTGGTGACCGTTCCAATTCTCGATCCGTGCATATGCGATTCTTGTTCAGAGACCATGCTTATGTCCCACACATTGTATTATGTGTTCCCGTATGTGTGCCCATTGGTCAGGGGGATCTACTATTGATCGAGCAAATGGTGTACATCGATTGCTTATGTAGCCCCTATCGTACTATCATAGCATCGTTGCAAATTTAGCGCATGCACTGAAGCAGTCGTAAGGACATGGGTGTCTTCTTCTTTTTTTTTTTTTTTTTTTTTTTTTTTTTTTTTTTTTTTGTGTGTGTGTGTGTGTGTGTGTGTGTGTGTGTG